GGCTGAGGGGCTCACCAGGGACAGGCATGCAGGTAGATGGGGGAGGGGCAGGGGGGAGAGGAGACAGGTGGGGAGGGGCTGGGAGCGGGGGAGGGGGCGGGGCCGAGGGGCTCACCAGGGACAGGCATGCAGGTAGATGGCGGAGGGGGGCTGGGGGCGGGGCTCAGGGGCTCACCAGCGACAGGCATGCAGGTCTCGTTCTGCACACACCACCCGAAGGGCCCCGGCGCGCGGGGCAGGGGGGGCCCGGCCCCCCCAAATGCCAGGCAGGACTCGCAGTCCACCAGGAGCCGGGCCAGGCCCAGGCAGCCGGTGCTAGGACACTGAGAGAGAGAGAGAGAGAGAGATGTCAACAGGGGAGCACGGCCAGCGCCCCTACTGCACTGCCCCGCACCGGGGAGAACCCAGGAGTCCTGGCTCCCAGCCCCGTCCTAACCCACCAGCCCCCACCCCCCTCCCAGAGCCGCGGAGAGAACCCAGGAGTCTGTACCTCACCCCCGGGGGTGTGACGAAGTGGGGGATTTTCTTAGTGTTTTGCATGAACACTGTGTGTGCCTCAGTTTCCCTGTGTGCTGCGTGTGTAATGAGATGAGGGGAGGGGGTTTGTAATTGCAGGGGACCAGGCAATAGCAGCCGGGACCCCGGACACCGGCCTGGAGATTGGGGACCCAGCGACTGGTGACCGGGGGGCCCAGCCCAGCTCGGGAGCAGCCGGTTCTGGCCGGGGGGGGAGGGGCAATGGGCTGAGGAGAGAGGGGCCCAGGGACCTGACCTGCCGGGTCCAGCCAGGGGGGAACAAAGGACGGCAGAGAGGGGCCCAGCGGCCTGTTCACCTGGGACTGAAGATAAAGGGTGGAGGAGGGGCGGGTGGGGGAGGAGATTTAGGGGGCTCGGCTGGAAGGAGGGGCCTGGGCTGGGCTGGGGACAAGGAGCAGCCGGACCCATGGGGACGGGACAGACCCAACTGGCCAGGGCTGAGACTGGCCAGGCCCGAGGACCCTGAGAACTGCCTGGGCTGGGTCCAGACGCTCAATAAACCTCCTGTGTGACGCTGGCAGAGTCCCTGCAGCTAGAGATCGGGGGCGTTGCTCCCTCTGGGGGTGGGGGCCCCGGGGGCCCAGAGCGAGGGGACTCCCCGAGGGGCCCACGGCACAGCCAGGCTGCTGGGGGCTCAGGGGGGCGGTCCCAGGGGCGGGGGGCCCTGCGGCGCAGAGGAGCCGGGGGGGCAGAGCCAGGGGGTCACTCACGTTGCTGTGGGGCGCGGGGCTCTGGCAGGCATCCAGGCACCAGGAGCATTCGGGGTCCTTCCCACAGGTGCTGCTCTCGGAGTACATGGAGCAGTAATCCAGGTGGTACTGGGGGGGGAGGCAGGGCAGTGAGGGAGGGGCTGCCCCCCAATAACCTCCCAATCTGCAGCCAGGGACCCCCCTCCCCCAGCCAGGGACCCCCCTCCCCCTCCCCAGCCACAAACCCCTGACCCCTCTTCCCCCACCAGCCAGAGATGACCCCCCCAACTCCACACCCGAGAGCCCGCTGGCTGTCTCCCCACGTAGAGGCAGCAATCACCCAGGTGGGGGGACGAGGGGGAGTTAATGGGGCCCAGGCAGCTCCCTGCAAGCCAGACCCTCCTCGTCCCCCCAGCCATAACCCCACAAGCCAGATCCCCTCCACGGGCCGGAAAAGGGGGGGGTCGCTGATCTGCTCCCGTGAGCTCCCAGGGCGCAGAGGGGAAGCCGGAGGTACTGGGGGGGCAGCAGGGGGTGGGGGGCCTGGCAGAGGTTAGGGTCCCTGTGGCGGAGGGGGCGCTAGGGGGGAGTGGCAGGGCCCCGGGGGTCACTTACGTTCTGGGCGGGCACCTGGAAGACGAAGGTGGCCACCTTGTAGGCCACGAGGTCCCCGCGGGGGGGCCCCGCTGAACCCCCCGGCCACCAACAGCACGTTGTCCTGCAGCACGGCCGCCACGTGGGAATAGCGCCCCCCGGCCGCCCGCCCGGCCCGCTCTGCCGAGAGGGGAGCATCA